ATGTTGAGAAACGAACCAGACACTGTCACAGTGAATCTTACCAAGTGTCTAGAGGTAAATACGCACAGATCTAAATGGATTGTGAAAACGTGCAATTGCATTAAGTTTTATAACCTGCATGAACTGTATCACTGTAGGCAACAGAGCATTTCACCCCTCCATGGAAGATGTGTTCATTAATATCACATACCTACAAGTCCCTCCCAAGAAGCTCATTGCTAGTAATCCCTTCCTTAAATCTCTTGTTAGAGCAACTGCTCAAGAAGAAATTTTTCGCCTAGCTGGTAGTAATAAGTTATCACAAGTATATATACACTGATGGATCTAAACAGGAGTCTTCTGGCAGGGCTGCATCTGCTCTTGTTGCCCACTCCCTAGTTAAGAACGATAATAAATTTGTTGAGTTAGGCATAAGAATTAACAACTGGGCGTCTACACTGCAAACTGAATTGTTTGCAATCCTAATGGCGCTAAAGCTAACCTATGACACTGAGCTTGACTCTATCATCATTACTGATTCTATGTCATCATTGAAGGCTCTTGGCTCATATAATGACTCCAACAACATGCTCATTGGGGAAGCCAGGTATAGATACTCAAAAATTAGGGACAAAGGAATTAATGTACAATTGCTATGGATCCCATCACACATTGGATTACTCCTTCATGATAAAGTTGATATGTTAGCCAAGAAGAGTATCTAGAAGGAGAAACGTAGAATATAACTTTGGTATAACTGTGTCTAGCATTAGGAATAATATTAGGAGAGAAGTAAATAATGAAGATGATTGTTATAGGAATGCAGTTAGAAGCCTGAGTAGATCTATAACCCACTATGATAACATGAACGTAGATAAGTATGTTTATGGAGCAACTTGCAATGTGAACAGACTGACTGATGTTGCAGTGGCCAGGCTTAGGCTTGGTTACAAGTACTTCTGCAGTTTGGGAGACACACAGATGATGATCAAACTAAATGTAAATTATGTGATCAGACATATGGTCACTCTCTTGAACACTATGTGCTTAATTGTCCACTTACTGAGGAATACAGAGACAGACAGTATAATAACCTATGTGACATGTCAAGATATCTTATTAATGAAAATAAGATACCAGATATACTAAGCAAATTTCCTAAATTTGCTTATAACAGATAAGTGAACTATAGATATGTAGATATAAATCCACATGTATTCCTGTTAACCCTTTGGGGCCTAGTTCCTAGGCCTTTTGTGTATCCACATGCTCTCGCGCTACCGTCCACAGGATGGATATGGGGTGCACAATAAACTAGCCACTTCGGTGGCAAAATCTAAAAATCTTCCCCTCAATTCTCAAAATAGCAAGGGTCACCCCGATACATAAAGGAGGAGATCATACAGACCTGAATAACTATAGGCCAATATCTAACTTACCCCTTCTCTCTAAAATCTTTGAAAAATTAATTTATAGGCAGAACTATTCCTACCTCATTTCCCACAACATACTCAACCCGTCAGTTTGGGTTCAGGCCTAACAAAAACACGAATGATGCTATTATACACATGCTAGAACTAATATACACTGCACTCGAGGAAAAAGAAGTCCCATTGGGGATCTTCATTGATCTACGTAAAGCTTTTGATACAGCTGACCATGATTTATTGCAAATAAAATTATCACATTATGGTATAAGAGTACACTCCTCATCTATCTGAAGTCATATCTTAGCAACAGAAGCCAATGTGTACACAGATGGAGCTACCTCTTCCACACCACCAATTACAGTCGGTGTCCCACAGGGAAGTGTCCTTGGCCCATTTCGTTCTCATTTACATAAACGACCTACCAAATGTATCTCAACTACTCAAACCCATACTATTTGCAGATGACATTACATACGTCTTCTCTCACGTGTGTGTGTGTGTGTGTGTGTACTCACCTAGTTGTACTCGCCTAGTTGAGGTTGCGGGGGTCGAGTCCGAGCTCCTGGCCCCGCCTCTTCACTGATCGCTACTAGGTCACTCTCCCTGAGCCGTGAGCTTTATCATACCTCTGCTTAAAGCTATGTATGGATCCTGCCTCCACTACATCCCTTCCCAAACTATTCCACTTACTGACTACTCTGTGGCTGAAGAAATACTTCCTAACATCCCTGTGATTCATCTGTGTCTTCAACTTCCAACTGTGTCCCCTTGTTACTGTGTCCAATCTCTGGAACATCCTGTCTTTGTCCACCTTGTCAATTCCTCTCAGTATTTTGTATGTCGTTATCATGTCCCCCCTATCTCTCCTGTCCTCCAGTGTCGTCAGGTTGATTTCCCTTAATCTCTCCTCGTAGGACATACCTCTTAGCAAACCTTTGCACTTTCTCTAGTTTCTTTACGTGCTTGGCTAGGTGTGGGTTCCAAACTGGTGCCGCATACTCCAATATGGGCCTAACGTACACGGTGTACAGGGTCCTGAATGATTCCTTATTAAGATGTCGGAATGCTGTTCTGAGGTTTGCTAGGCGCCCATATGCTGCAGCAGTTATTTGGTTGATGTGCACTTCAGGAGATGTGCCTGGTGTTATACTCACCCCAAGATCTTTTTCCTTGAGTGAGGTTTGTAGTCTCTGGCCCCCAAGACTGAACTCCGTCTGCGGTCTTCTTTGCCCTTCCCCAATCTTCATGACTTTGCACTTGGTGGGATTGAACTCCAGGAGCCAATTGCTGGACCAGGTCTGCAGCCTGTCCAGATCCCTTTGTAGTTCTGCCTGGTCTTCGATCGAGTGAATTCTTCTCATCAACTTCACGTCATCTGCAAACAGGGACACCTCAGAGTCTATTCCTTCCGTCATGTCGTTCACAAATACCAGAAACAGCACAAGTCCTAGGACTGACCCCTGTGGGACCCCGCTGGTCACAGGTGCCCACTCTGACTGTGTGTGTGTGTGTGTGTGTGTGTGTGTGTGTGTGTGTGTGTGTGTGTGTGTGTGTGAGACTCAACAATCAATATTTGCAACAATAACTCATTACAGTTGTGACCGGGTGTGGAGGTGTGAATTGCTCATTATAATTTGTTCATGATTGTAGCCATGTATAAACGTAAGTAACCATTCTTACAGGATTCATTACCTTTGTAACTTGTGAGTTCATTACCTTTGTACCTAGTTCAGCTATCAAAACTTTGGGGGCCCAGTCCCTGTACCCATTACGTACCTCTGTAATCTGTAAATACCTTTGTAACTTGTCATGATTGTGACCAGACCTACCTGGAGTTTATTACATTTATAAATTGTGAGTTCATTACCTTTGTAAATTGTGAGTTCATTAACTCTGTAACTTGCTCAGCTATCAAAACTTTGGAGTCCAGTCCCTGGACCCATTATGTACCTCTGTAATCTTTTGACTACCGCCCACAGGATGGGTATGGTGTGACTACCGCCCACAGGATGGGTATGGTGTGACTACCGCCCACAGGATGGGTATGGTGTGACTACCGCCCACAGGATGGGTATGGTGTGACTACCGCCCACAGGATGGGTATGGGGTGACTACCGCCCACAGGATGGGTATGGGGTACACAATAAACATAGTAAACGTACACTCACCCAAGCCCAGTCATACTAGCCAATACTGTAAATATTAAATTACAGAAAATATCTACCTGGATGATGATTAACAAGCTTACTCTCAATATTGACAAAACCTATTTCATTCAGTTTGGGAACAGAGCTACAAATGTTCCTCTTAACATAATGATAAACGGATCACCTATCACAAAACTCACAGAGGGAAAATTCTTAGGAATCCACCTTGATAATATCCTCAAATTTCAGACACGTGTATACAACAAATTTCCAAGAAAGTCTCCAAGACCATAGGCATACTATCAAAGATACGGTACTATGTTCCACAATAAGCTCTCCTTGCCCTGTATCACTCACTTATTTACCCCTATCTCACCTATGGAATTTGTGCATGGGGCTCAACAACAATGAATTATCTCAGACCATTAATTACCCAACAAAAGGCTGCAGTCAGAATGATAAATTCCCACTCCAGCCACACTCCACCAATATTCAAAATTCTATACTTACTCATCGTACAAAACTTCCATACTTATTGTTGTGCCTACTACATACATAGAACACTAAACTCAGATATAAACCCTCCCCTCAAACTTCTCCTTACCAACCTCAACAGAACACATGACCATAAGTCCATAACACAAGGCACAGAACACTCTTTGATGTTCCTCGTGTCCATCTCACACTATGTAAAAACTCAATGCACATAAAAGGCCCAAAAATTTGGAATTCATTACCAGTGAATACCAAAGAAACACTGTATATCAATTCAAGACTTCTAAAAAAAACCACCTACTCACCCAAAACTAAATACACAGTATTTTATTTATCTTAACAAATCACTTTCTACTGCCTCAAAATATCATTACTCACTGTGTTACTTCCCTAGTCTTAGGACCCCATAAATAAATGCTCAAAGATCAATAAATTTTCATATCTAATATAATGTAAATATTGAATAACTTATATTTCATAAATGTATAACCTAGTTGTATAATTAGAGAAACCTTACCAAACTATGTTATTATAGCATTAACTAGTAAAATAATCCATTCTCCTGAATGCACTGTAACTCATCTAATGACCATATGAACTGTTACTGCACTACAGATCATTGATTAGATCTGATTAATAAATTGTACGACTACATATAGTAAATTAATCATTTTGTTATATTATTGACTGTAATGTTACAAAACTGTAAAACTATAATGCTTCAAAATTGAAAAGTTCAAATTTCATTGTTTAAAATACTCAACTGTACTTGATATTGTAAATTATTTACTGTAACTGTTCTATTAATCTTAAGTTAATTTTAAGCCTGCCCATAATGCTCTGCATATAAGGGGCTTTTGACATTTACACTCAACTACTATAATACTTTGTACAGCTATGTATCATGTCTTAATAAACTATTATTATTATTAAATAAAGCAGTACTGACCCGTCCTTCACCAGGGCCACGTGACCAGGGGCATAAGGGGCTGTAGGGTCACTGGACACCGTCACCTCCATCAACTTTACATACTTCCATCCTGCATAAATACAAAAATAATATCCATATATAAACTACAGTATATTGTTTTTGCAAAGGAATATGTGTAAAAAATCCATTGCTATTGTTTACAATACAATAGATTTACAAACAGTTATTACCAGTATAATGGGAAGTTCAATTCCTGTATTCATTATGTACGTCTGTAATATTTTGACTACTGTCCACAGGTCGCAAGTCAAAATACTACAGGCCGTTTTTTTTCGTAACAGGTGATCTAGCATGTGTGGGGAGTGCTGGTTGTTTCCAGTAGGTGGGAGTGGTAGGTTTTTGCCAGTGTGGGGAGTGCTGGTTGTTTCCAGTAGGTGGGAGTGGTAGGTTTTTGCCAGTGTGGGGAGTGCTGGGTGTTTCCAGTAGGTGGGAGTTGTAGGTTTTTGCCAGTGTGGGGAGTGCTGGTTGTTTCCAGGAGGTGGGAGTGGTAGGTTTTTGCCAGTGTGGGGAGTGCTGGGTGTTTCCAGTAGGTGGGAGTGGTAGGTTTTTGCCAGTGTGGGGAGTGCTGGGTGTTTCCAGTAGGTGGGAGTTGTAGGTTTTTGCCAGTGTGGGGAGTGCTGGTTGTTTCCAGGAGGTGGGAGTGGTAGGTTTTTGCCAGTGTGGGGAGTGCTGGGTGTTTCCAGTAGGTGGGAGTGGTAGGTTTTTGCCAGTGTGGGGAGTGCTGGGTGTTTCCAGTAGGTGGGAGTAGTGGTAGGTTTTTGCCAGTGTGGGGAGTGCTGGGTGTTTCCAGTAGGTGGGAGTGGTAGGTTTTTGCCAGTGTGGGGAGTGCTGGGTGTTTCCAGTAGGTGGGAGTTGTAGGTTTTTGCCAGTGTGGGTGAGTGCTGGTTGTTTCCAGGAGGTGGGAGTGGTAGGTTTTTGCCAGTGTGGGGAGTGGCTGGGTGTTTCCAGTAGGTGGGGAGTGGTAGGTTTTTGCAAGTGTGGGAGTGATGGGTGTTTCAGTAGGTGGGAGTGGTAGGTTTTTGCCGTGTGGGGAGTGCTGGGTGTTTCCAGTAGGTGGGAGTGGTAGGTTTTTGCCAATGTGGGGAGTGCTGGGTGTTTTCCAGTAGGTGTGGGAGTGGTAGGTTTTTGCCAGTGTGGGGAGTGCTGGGTGTTTCCAGTAGGTGGGAGTGGTAGGTTTTTGCCAGTGTGGGGAGTGCTGGGTGTTTCCAGTAGGTGGGAGTGGTAGGTTTTTGCCAGTGTGGGGAGTGCTGGGTGTTTCAGTAGGTGGGAGTGGAGGTTTTTTGCCAGTGTGGGGAGTGCTGGGTGTTTCCAGTAGGTGGGAGTGGTAGGTTTTTGCCAGTGTGGGGAGTGCTGGGTGTTCCAGACGATGGGATACGTAATAAAGCAATCTGAATAAACCGCTATACGAGTCTCTTAGGATTTTTGGGTATCATTGCCACATGGTCTGACCTTTGGTCAAGCTTCCCAAACCGACATGGAAATATTACCGAGCTATTAAAAACAGTGAGTAAGGACAAATATAAAGTAGGTAAATAGAAGTTTGCAAAATACAATGTCTTCATATGAAACATTTAACGGGCTGTTATTTAACACTCAACTATCAACTACTGTAGTGGACAGTTGCTCTCTACAACACAAACTCTTCATGAAGGAAAATTTAAAAAAAAAGTGAAAATTACAAAATGCTGCATGTTAAAACTACGTAAAAATAAATCCATTATGGTTATTTCTCCCTTCCCGGGAGGTTCCTTGATACCACCGAGGTGCTCTTGGTCCAAGGAATCAGATCCGATCTATTCTTACATGGATTAAACCCAACTGCATCTCATTTACCAGGTTCTATAATCCCTAATGGTTTAGCTCTCCCATGAACATAGAAATAATAACTTAGTGATTTTTCCCAGAATTAGAAATACAGGATTATTTACAATTAATCAGAAAATTATTATTATTCTTTCAGTGGATACTGTAGTAGGTGTCAGAACTTCATATCTCCTGCAAGGAACTTTTCTGTCCTCACCCATCTCCACTAAAAAAGTTCTTAGATTCTCTAGTTACACTGATTCTTCAAACCAAGAATTTCCACCATCAATAATCTCTTGTGTTCTTTGCACTCTTTAATAGTCCTTTGAGTTCTTCAGTGTTATATTGTTATATTCACTGTTCTTTGGTGTTCTGTTATGTTCTTCACTGACCCCTTGCGTTCTTTACTGTTGGTCAACATTCTATGTGCTCCACACACTATACTACTCCACTATACTACTGCTTAAATGTTTTAAATACTACCAGTATAATCATTAACATAACTTATATAATGTGGCTGATAGATTGGCATCGACTTACTTGAGTGGGTGTTAATCCTGGCCCTCAATTGTAGTCGGGAGCCAATAGGAACAGCTTGGTCGACAGGGGTGTGACTACTGCCAGAGCGAGCGTTCATCTCCCTGTACAGTGCCACTTCATATTCGAGGCGACCAGGAGACTCTTCCACCACTCCTGATACTCGCCCCGTTGATGGCCTGCGTTGTTTATTCAGGTATATTACATAATTTTAAAGGATTAATATTATCTTGCACTAATGTGTGTGTGTGTGTGTGTGTGTGTGTGTGTGTGTGTGTGTGTGTGTTGTGTGTGGTGTGTGTGTGTGAATTATCTATGGTAACAAGGTCAAAGTGAATTATTTTCCTTTGTTGAATATTGTTAGAACACATGAAAATAAATGCAAGAACTGGTCGAGGGAGGTTACATGCACAGCTTTAAGAATAAGTATGACAGAACCTACAAGGATAGGTTTCCTTGAACGCAGGCGAGAGATACACGATAATATACACTTGGAAGGTCCTGGAGGGATTGATATCAAACCTGCACACGAAAATCACTTCATATGAAAGCAAAAGACTCGGCAGGAGATGCAACATTTCCCCGATGAAAAGCAGGGGCGCCACGAGTACACTGAGAGAACACAATAAGTGTCCGGGGCCCAAGACTTTTCAATTGCCTCCCAGCATACATAAGGGGGATTACCAATAGACCCCTGGCTTTCTTCAAGAAGGAACTGGACAGGCAACTAAAGTCAGTACCTGACCAACCGGGCTGTAGTTCGTACTTCAACTTGCGTGCGGCTAGCAGTAACAGCCTGGTTGATCAGACCCTGATCCACCATGAGGCCTGGTCTCAGACCGGGCCGCGGGGGCGTTGACCCCCGAAACCCTCTCCAGGTAAACTCCAGGTAGGAGTGAGCACTGTCATGACTAACCAAATGTTGGAGCCACGACCCAAGACTACCCCATTTTACCATAGATAAGAACAAAATTATACTTACATGGGTAAAATAAAACAAACGCTGATTGGTACTATACATTTCAACCTCACATTGAGGCCCCCTTCAATAGACTTATAAAATGTCCCACAAGGAAAGTGCTTTGATGCTGGCGCGTCTCTCGATCCAAGAAACTGAACGTATCTTCCTCTCCCATTATAATCTGAATGTCTCCCATTCCCAGAGATTTATGGTTTAACACTCATTAAATTAAAAAAAAATCTTTTGAAAAGGGCATATTTTTAATTTATCTGCAGTCCAGTTCAAGGCATGAGGAACACTAAAAAATAAGTTACAATACTGTGGCTAGAATAATTCACAACCCACCAGTTGTATAAGAAAACAGGCGGTGGTTTTGGGTAGTGCTGAACCATTATTAAATCACATTGATAGGCCAAGATGGGCCAAATTGTCATCCGGCTTTCAGGTTTAATTTGTGGATTAGCTGGAAAAATCTACTGAATTCTTGTTTCTTTTCTATAACTTCATAACTTCAGTGAAAGGAAGAAACTCACAGTGCTCCAGCAAAGCCAGCTGCTCTGTTCTCTATGATGGTGGGTGAGGCTGGCTTACACATGATGATCACCTCCTGGTCAGTAGCCAAGACAACACCTTCCAGCTGAGGGAACCACACTCGCAGTGTCACGTACCCCTGAAACCAGACACTTGTTACAAACACTCCAAAGCCACAAGCTTGAACATACTCCTGGCTTCAACTCGAATCTTATCGATGCTACTAAGAGATTCTTGATCCAAAGAATTTGAGCTATCTTCCCATTCAGTAGATCACACTATCACCTCCCATTCATGTGTACTGTATAATTCCCATCCGTTTAACGTTCCCCATAAATATAATAATAATAATCTTACCTCTTGTAGACCGGCTTCAGTAACTCCTGGGCCCGCTCATGCATATTCTTGAAAACGTGTTTATTTCTAGGACTTTACTTAATACGTTCCATATACCCACATTGATACCGAGAAAGCACTTCTTAACGTCCCTGTGGTTCATCTTCATCCTTTGCTGTCATGTTGAAAATGATATAAAATACCGACAAGCACGATAAGACAACACAATAAGTGTCAGGGGCCCAAGACTGTTCAGCTGCCTTCCAGCATACATAAAGGGGATTACCAATAGACCCCTGGCTGTCTTCAAGCAGGCACTGGACAGGCACCTAAAGTCAGTACCTGACCAGCCGGGCTGTGGTTCGTATGTCGGGTTGTGTGCGGCCAATGGTAACAGCCTGGTTGATCAGGCCATGATCCACCATGAGGCCTGGTCACAGACCGGGCCACGAGGGCGTTGAACCCCGAAACCCTCTTCAGGTATACTCCAGGTATATGCAAGTGCAACAGCTGCCATGTGAGTCCCCTGGCTCCCTCTCCTCACATCTCAAACAGCCTCTTCCTGATTATTTTGTGTCTTCAAATTTCCACTGGTGAAACACACACCTTATCAGTTGTCAGCTTAGAGAGCTTTACACTAACACTTAACTACTGTGCGAGTCTCTTAGACGCCTTTAACATCCGAGTGCTATGGAAGTATTATACTCACCTTACACTGACATCTGAGAGTCCGTCCATGGGGAAAAGCTAAACCTGAATGGGGTTATACAGCGTTTGAGTTTGATCAAAAGAAAGGGGTACTAGCACTAATACCTTGAAGAGTTCTCCATTAGCATAAAGGCATTCTACACCTTGAAAAGATTGAAAAGAACATCCAAGCAAAATGTTCCATCACTCGTGTTCCCCTGAGAACACTGCTGACAGTGCCTTCCTCGCCACAGTCCCCTGAGAACACTGCTGACAGTGCCTTCCTCGCCACAGTCCCCTGAGAACACTGCTGACAGTGCCTTCCTCGCCACAGTCCCCTGAGAACACTGCTGACAGTGCCTTCCTCGCCACAGTCCCCTGAGAACACTGCTGACAGTGCCTTCCTCGCCACAGTCCCCTGAGAACACTGCTGACAGTGCCTTCCTCGCCACAGTCCCCTGAGAACACTGCTGACAGTGCCTTCCTCGCCACAGTCCCCTGAGAACACTGCTGACAGTGCCTTCCTCGCCACAGTCCCCTGAGAACACTGCTGACAGTGCCTTCCTCGCCACAGTCCCCTGAGAACACTGCTGACAGTGCCTTCCTCGCCACAGTCCCCTGAGAACACTGCTGACAGTGCCTTCCTCGCCACAGTCCCCTGAGAACACTGCTGACAGTGCCTTCCTCGCCACAGTCCCCTGAGAACACTGCTGACAGTGCCTTCCTCGCCACAGTCCCCTGAGAACACTGCTGACAGTGCCTTCCTCGCCACAGTCCCCTGAGAACACTGCTGACAGTGCCTTCCTCGCCACAGTCCCCTGAGAACACTGCTGACAGTGCCTTCCTCGCCACAGTCCCCTGAGAACACTGCTGACAGTGCCTTCCTCACCACATTTCCCTGAGAACACTGCTGACAGCACCTTCCTCACCACATTTCCCTGAGAACACTGCTGAGAGTGCCTTCCTCACCACATTTCCCTGAGAACACTGTTGACAGTGCCTTCCTCACCACATTTCCCTGAGAACACTGACAGTGCCTTCCTCACCACAGTCCCCTGAAAACACTGCTGACAGTGCCTTCCTCGCCACAGTCCCCTGAAAACACTGCTGACAGTGCCTTCCTCGCCACAGTCCCCTGAGAACACTGCTGACAGTGCCTTCCTCACCAGTCCCCTGAGAACACTGCTGACAGTGCCTTCTTCGCCACAGTCCCCTGAAAACATTGTTGACAGCGCCTTCCTCACCACATTCCCCTGAGAACACTGCTGATAGTGCCTTCCTCGCCACAGTCCCCTGAAAACACTGTTGTCTCCCTCAACACATTACCCAGTGAACACAGTCTCGTACACACTCGAGTGACGTCTCTAAAAATACAATGATTGTCCCTTGGTCCCAAGGACAATAAACATTAAATGTGTAAAACTCTGGTTACTTCCGCTGGGGGGCGGCGCACCCTTTCATCTGCATGTGCGTCAATATAATTAATCTGAGGTGAGGTGAGGAAGGGGAGTCTTGTTACAGTCAAGGAAGTGGGTTTATAAAGAAGCCATTACATGTATGTCACCTCACTAATGGGACCACCATAGCCAGTAATGCTATAGAAATATCTTCTCCACGTTCCTAAAGCTATTTTATTAAATGTAAGTTTATTCAGGTCTAGGAACACAAATACAATTACATAAATTATCATACGTAGCAGCATATGTGTAGATTACCTTGGATTACCAAAGTCAGACAAGGCGACTTATTTCCATTGGGGTCCTTGTAGTATCTTATTATTTAAACCTTAAAAGTTAAAACAGCTAAGTAACTGAGCTATATGAAAAGCAGTGTATATCCCATATATATTATAATGCAATAAGCAAAACAACCAATGAAAAAATAGTGAGCTTCCAAGTGCTTTCGTGATTTCTCACATTTTTTCACAGTGGTTTTGCATACTGTGATATCACCTGATTTCCTGCCATTTCCCAGACGTTTTCCAATAATAATGAAAGTAATATAGCTTAACAATGTAGTATATCTAATTTTGATAATAAAAAAGTGAAGATGAGGTATACACTCACGTCTTTCTTGACGACGCCACACCTGGAGAGGTCCGTCACCAGCAGGTTGTAGACCAGACCTGATGTCTCCCTCGAGTCCTGACGTATCTGACACTTCTGGTCACTGCTCGTGTGTGTCCACACGTACATAGGGTCCAGCAGGAGGGTGAGGTGTTACAAATGGAATACATCAGTATCAAACATCAGCACTTGCAAACCAGGTATATGACACCAATGCACTGAAGTGGTGAATAAAATCCCAGGACTGAAACCTCTCCTAATATAATATCTTAAGTGTCTGCACATATAGCCTTCCCTCATAAGTACTGTTATGAAACTAGAAGAAAGTGAATTAATGTATTAATAACGCCAGAAAATACCACTGTAAATACTTGTCATTAATTTTTTCAGTCTTTCACGGGGGAGTATTTGAAAACATTGACAATGAAGGTCTCGATCCAGTGAACTTGAGCTAACTTTCCCTTATTAATATTACATTCATGGGGAAACACGAAACCCACAGGGGTCATACAGAGCCTCGGGAAATGGAAGGCATTCAGGCTTGATTCAAAGAACTGAAGCACTGGTCCAATTTCTTAAATCAAGAGCCCCCCTCCTCACCAACATCAAGGATCATTCTTTAAGGGAATCAAACTTTAATGCCTCACATTCCCAGCACCTGTATGATTATTGTAATTATTATAATAATTTGGGAGCGCTAAATCCGTAGGATTATACAGCGCCTGTGGGGGGGGGGGGTGGAAGGTATTCAGGGTCAGTTCAGATTAAGAGTCCCTCACCAGTATGAGCCCTATAGGCTCATACTGGTGCTCATACAGTATGAGCCCTATAGGCTCATACTGGTGCTCATACAGTATGAGCCCTATAGGCTCATACTGGTGCTCATACAGTATGAGCCCTATAGGCTCATACTGGTGCTCATACAGTATGAGCCCTATAGGCTCATACTGGTGCTCATACAGTATGAGCCCTATAGGCTCATACTGGTGCTCATACAGTATGAGCCCTATAGGCTCATACTGGTGCTCATACAGTATGAGCCCTATAGGCTCATACTGGTGCTCATACAGTATGAGCCCTATAGGCTCATACTGGTGCTCATACAGTATGAGCCCTATAGGCTCATACTGGTGCTCATACAGTATGAGCCCTATAGGCTCATACTGGTGCTCATACAGTATGAGCCCTATAGGCTCATACTGGTGCTCATACAGTATGAGCCCTATAGGCTCATACTGGTGCTCATACAGTATGAGCCCTATAGGCTCATACTGGTGCTCATACAGTATGAGCCCTATAGGCTCATACTGGTGCTCATACAGTATGAGCCCTATAGGCTCATACTGGTGCTCATACAGTATGAGCCCTATAGGCTCATACTGGTGCTCATACAGTATGAGCCCTATAGGCTCATACTGGTGCTCATACAGTATGAGCCCTATAGGCTCATACTGGTGCTCATACAGTATGAGCCCTATAGGCTCATACTGGTGCTCATACAGTATGAGCCCTATAGGCTCATACTGGTGCTCATACAGTATGAGCCCTATAGGCTCATACTGGTGCTCATACAGTATGAGCCCTATAGGCTCATACTGGTGCTCATACAGTATGAGCCCTATAGGCTCATACTGTATGAGCACTATTGGCAAAAAGTTTCTCCGTGAAAAATAACAATTTGCCATGTTAATGAGGTGATCGAAACAGAGGCCTTCCCCATTTTTCTCAGCTATACACAGCCCAGCTATACTGACCCATACGATTTTGCGTTGTTTTTTTTCCGATATTAAGTCATGGGTGTGTGAATCCCTCATTATCATGTGAACCGCTAAACCGTGTCGTTTTTTCAGCACAAGAAGTTATGGAGGCTCGATCCTCTGACTGCTAACCGCAACCCAGTCTTTGGTTAGCCAAATTGTTGGTATATCTGACTCACGAAATCGTAATGACAAGATTGCAAACAAACCATACCACGGGTGGGGTTTGCAATCGTGTCATTACGATTTCTTGAGTCGACCGCGGGTTCAAACCCCACCCGTGGTATGGCTTGTTGGTATATACCTTAAAGATATTCGAATCCTAGAATTGCTTGAGTCAGACTGTGTATTGATCAGCACACTCACCTGAAGGGATCAGCTCTCTTGTCGTCAGCGAAGAGCGGGTGTCCTCTGAACCCCGCTGGCTTCATCAGTTTAGCAGAGAGCCTTTGGCTTTTGCTTCCTACCAGCCCTGCTTCCTCGCCCACTGCCTCGTCACCGAAGTCACACTTTATATCTGCCACTGTGGATTAATGCCGTGAGAAATTTGTATTAATTATCGGAGAGTGTGAGGAGTAAGTCACTATACCTGGCCGCTGCATCACTTCACAAATTGGAGTTGAAGAGTGGGATGCTTCGGTAAGTTTTGGATTATTATCGGTCCGTGATTGGATGATGGTTCATGCCGGACCGAAATGTCAAGTTTTTATCATCAGTATGTGCGTGCATGACTGTGCGAATGCATGTTTGTATATGTGTATATATAAATATATCATGGAGTAGGTAAGACTACTATTACTAGCGCTTCCCCATGAAAATAATAAGTGATAATTGTCAATAGGTTAAGTGGTAGACTGTTATAACACTTAATATATCCTAACCTAACGTAAGGGTTAGGATATATTAAGGGTTATATTCTAAGAGTTGTAGAATATAACAATCACATACATATTACCCACCCTGATAGTCCTGGGCAGCCGTCGCCGACACCTGCAGGAGACAAACACGTCAGGTTAAGACAATTCTCGACTGCCAAGTGTTATCAAGGTGTAGTTAGTGTTACTAGTGTGTTGGGAGAGGGAGGAGCTAGAGGGTGTCGAATACTAATTTTTTTTTTTACACTTGCATGCGCTTGTAAATTTGTTGATAGAATATACAGTCAAAAATAACAAAATCTCGTGTTATTATTGCTCTTAGTATGAATATTTTAATTATAACTATTTAGTTACTATAAATACCTTGATAATTAAATATTTCCTGTAAATTTTGCTCACTTAGCAAATCCAGTTCACTGTAAATAAGATACTAAGTAACAATATATTCAGTGTAAATATCATTCTAAAAACATGTTCAGTGTTTTACCGCAACTTACAAATTTAATACAAAATTCCAATAACTGTACACCAGTGGTTGTTATATTACTTACATCAGGAGATACCTGCGTGTTTCCTGACGAACAAAACACCACCAATTATGATAAATTAGACACATGTGCAACTCTTGGGTCTAATTTATCAACATGTCGGTTCTCTGAACCATTCATCTACAAACCACCAATTATACACTGACATTAATACTATTTTGCTATACTTAAACCGAACCTCGTCTCACCACCCTGAACAGTGTTTTCAACACTCCTTGTTCTTAATAGCTCACATGGATTTATCGCCTTGTTCAATATTTATTGAAACAATAATTTAAACGACAGAGGAACATTATCTGTTATTACTTTAAAGGGAGTTTTGAGAGGCGGATTAAATGCATTATTACTGATCAAGTCTTTAATATTTCCTGTGCCCAGTGACCACACGGTCACTGGGCACAGGAAAGAGAAAACTATATAGAGAACAGACTGTACATACTTCATTATTTTTACTAAATACAAACATAACATTTATCATTATAATACTTACCCATAAAACGAGAAGACATTTAGAAAGATATTTCATGTTTGCTGTGAGTCAATGGTTGTATAAGACTTGTACTGTACGATACTCTGGCTTCTTCACTATAGTTTATCCACACTCGTTCTCAACACAAACTTTCTTGCTGGTGATACACTCTTGTTGAACTTTTGCAAGCACCAGTAATGCACTAATGGCGTATTTTTTTTTCCAGTTCTCGAGACAAATATACTAACTGGAGTAATGAAGACGATGATAAAAAGTTTTCTTCAGAACAGTCTGCACAAGATAATAACTAATATGTTACATTTTTTGGGAGTTAAGATACAAATTCCTTCAAAGTTGTAGTGAAAATACATATATATATGTCGTGCCGAATATGTAAAACTGGTCAGTTAGCAAGAACTCATTTAAAATTAAGTCATTTCTAAAATTTTCTCTTACACGTTTAAAGATATATTTTTTTTCATTAATCTTAATGTAAATTTTTTTAATTTTGCTCCAAAAGAATCTTAGAAAACTTACCTAACCTTATTATAACAAGAACAATTTATTTTAGCCTAACCCAACTAAATATATTTTAGATTTGTTTACAATAATTTAATATTAAACAAACACAGTGAAAAGTATTTTTTTCGTTAGGTTCAGAATGATTTTGGCGAAATTATTGCATACACAAATTTTCGCTTGTCCTATATGGCAAGATGAGCGTTGCTATTTAAGCCAAGATGGCAAGTTCTGCCTATTCGGCACGACATATATATATATATATATATATATATATATATATATATATATAATATATATATATATATATATATATATTCATTATGTAATATTAATGCATTATTATTTAATATCCATTAGTTCACCTATTGTATTGAAATATGTTTCACTTAACCTTTAATGAAAAATAAATGCCATAATTAATCTATCATGTCTTAATTAGTCTGATTATAAAATGCGCTAATTAACTCATAAATTCAGAAGCCTGAATTGACATATAATACGTCATGTTTTCTTGTTTTACGTAGGTAGATGTACTGTACACCTACCAGCTTCACCTACTTAATATACCTCCTTGCATCACCTACTTCCCCTGGGTTACACATGTTACACATGATGACACTCAAATCACATCTGAGCAGACACGCCCAGCCTCACACGCGAAGCTGAGATGCTGAGCTCTAGGTGAGACTGTGGGTTACTCTCTTCCCGTTACTTCTGCTGAGATTACACTGAGAAACGTATACTGAAGGGCAGGGATCTTGATGAATCAAAGTCGCAAAACCTTGTCTAGAACAATTCACAAATCACACAATCACAATATCGTGGATACAAGAGTTAAACTCACAAAATGACAGTACCCTGGCTGGAACCATTCATAAATTACCCAGACACAGGAGAGAAAACTTGAGACGACGTTTCTCTCCTACATTGCTCTAAATTGCTCTAAATCTATGGAATTAGAAGAAGCCAACTCTTCCTCGGATCAAATCCGTATGGGTTTAGTCTTTTCATACGATCATAATTATAATTCACTTTTGCAACACCCGGACTGCAATGTGACTATTATTATTATTATTATTATTATTATTATTATTATTATTATTATTATTATTATTATTATTATCCCTTGAAGGGATAATATAGTTGTAAATAATGGTAACTGCTATTAATTTATAAAACCAGTGTTATATTGTATCTTAGTTACAGCAATTTCTGAGAGTTAGTCTAAGTTTGTTTCAGCAGATCACTTGTCACTTGATAATGGTGCAGGAAGGGTCGAAACATCGGCTAGTTTCTCCTCTCTAATTTGTAGGTTACTTGTTAATGTGCGTATAGGATTACATGTTTATGTTCTTTCCTTCAACGTTTTCTGTGACGATCCTGCTTCTCCTTCCTTTCACCCCAGATTTATATACCCTTTTAAATAGGATGATTAGAAAGGTGTATAAAGCTGGAGTGGAGGGAAGGAGGGGTAGGGGTCATCTCCGGAAAAGCTGGAGGGAGGGAGTAAAGGTTTTGAGTGCTAGGGGCTTGGACATCCAACAGGTTCGTGGGAGGGCAAGGAGCATGAACAAGGTAATATTTATGAAGGTATTCAGGGGAATATGATTAGCTAGACTTGAGTCCTGGAGGTGGGAAGTACAGTGCCTGCACTCTGAAGGAGGGGCGGGGTTGTTGCAGTTCGGACGATCATCTGAACTGTTATGTCAGCACACTGGCAAGACATAGAAGCTATTAGGGTTCATTATAAAGTGCTGAATTTTTTTTTTCCAGTTTCGAGTAGTGGGTTGAGCGTGGCCCCCTCACTGCTGGAGGACCTCGGTTAGGGTACTCTGTTTTGACAAATTATCCTGCACACATTTAACCTGCCATAACCAAATTACTTAAAGGGGTAACGCCTGGCAGCGGGGATACACCGGTGTCGCTTAACTCGTTGGAAACAACACGCTCGGAAAAAAAAATATATATATATGTTAGTGTTTTTCTTCACAAAGTATAAATATTAGCAAAACTTTCGTGTCCGAATTTGTTCTGTATTTCACACTTTATATCTCAAAAACAAACTGAATGTTTTTTTCAACACCGTTGAAATTTTTTTCACTCGAAACTACCAAAAATAGAATTCAAAGCGGTTTCAATTATTTTTCACTATAATAAAGAAAATTTCACGATCACACAGTGGGGGAAAAAATAAGGCGAAGGAGGAATGGGATCCGACACCTTCTCACGGAGGCTTGAGATCAACTAACACCCGAGTCGTTACCTCCTGACCCGGATTCATCTCCCGGTCCCTGGGCGTGGGTGGGTCGGGGAATGATCTGCAAGACAAATTACGTATTATATTCACTGGATTCTACAATGCTCAACTGCTCGAAACGGAATAAAGTAACTGGCAAAACGCCCAGTCAAGGCATTCATCTTCTCTAGCCCAGGTTTGGTTGTCATGTAGGACGAAACTTAAGGGTAAGTGTTCTCCCACCAGCTGTCCCTCTATATCTAGCTAGGGAATATATATTAGGGAGTTAGTTGACTGCTGTTGGAGTATCCTAGGGCAGTTGACTATTGTTGGCAGTATCCTAGGGCAGTTGACTATTGTTGGCAGTATCCTAGGGCAGTTGACTATTGTTGGCAGTATCCTAGGGCAGTCGACTATTGTTGGCAGTATCCTAGGGCAGTCGACTGTTGTTGGAAGCATCCTAGAGCAGTCGACTGTTGTTGGAAGCATCCTAAGGCAGTCGACTATTGTTGGCAGTATCCTAGGGCAGCCGACTATTGTTGGCAGTATTCTAAGACAGTCGACTATTGTTGGCAGTATCAGAGGGCAGTCGACTATTGTTGGCAGTATTCTAAGACAGTCGACTATTGTTGGCAGTATCCTAGGGCAGTCGACTGTTGTTGGGGGCATCCTAGGGCAGTCGACTGTTGTTGGAAGCATCCTAGTGCAGATGACTGTTGTCGTAGCATCCTAGGGCAGTCGACTGTTGCCGGTAGCATCCTAGGGCAGTTAATTTTTTTTTTTTTTTTTTTTTTTTATTCGCCGGTATTCTCCCGGCCCGGGTCTTTTCCAAGTAGTGGTGACCCGGCCTTGGCTCCCTATTTGGGGAGTGTCTCGAGACTTAAGTCTCCCATGGGAGGAGGGACAAGTACCTCCTCATCTTTGGGACCAACTGTCCCCAGGCCTAGCCACATTCCCCGCCCTCACGGGGCTCGTAGGGAGAAGCTAGGCCTCTGGTCTGCCATCTACCCCGCCTCAAAGGGGCTCGTGGGGATGGCAGCCTTATGAGCTGCAGATGGTAGCAAGCTCCCTAGGGCAGTTAAGTGTTGTTGACAGTATCCTAGGGCGTCAGCGTCATCATGGCCCGCTGGGACTATTAAAAGATATATACCGAGGCTAGCGTCATCATAGCCCTCACACCAGGATAAAACTTGCACAGTGGTAAACACGTAAGATAGATGCACTCATCACACTGTTGACCAGACATTACCAGCTGGACTACCTCCCCCTCACCTCCATCATCCTATCTTTAGCTCTCCCTATCAAAACATCCTCCTTCTCTTCTTCCTCCTCATCCATCTCTTCCTTTTTCATTTGCTTATTTTTGGCATCTTTCTTTAGAAGAAACCACCAAAGAAATTAATTCCTCGTCAACGTGTATAATACACAACGTATAGCTAGGATAATCCTCTTATGTATGATGGGAGGCTGTTGAATAGTCTTGATACCCTTACACTTATTGTGATGTCTCTTAGCGCACTCATGTCACTTCTGTTTTTCACTAGAGGTATATTGCATCATCTACCGAATCTTTTGCTTCCGTAGAGAGTGATTTCTGTGTGCAGATAAGATAAGATAAGATTTCGTTCGGATTTTTAACCCCGGAGGGTTAGCCACCCAGGATAACCCAAGAAAGTCAGTGCGTCATCGAGGACTGTCTAACTTATTTCCATTGGGGTCCTTAATCTTGTCCCCCAGGATGCGACCCACACCAGTCGACTAACACCCAGGTACCTATTTGCTGCTAGGTGAACAGGACAATAGGTGTAAGGAAACGTGTCGGAATTTCCACCCGCCGGGAATCGAACCTGGGCCCTCCGTGTGTGAAGCGGGAGCTTTAGCCACCAGGCCACCGGGCCTAGGATTTTCTATATGTAAATTATGATGCATCTTTCTCGCCTGTTCCCAAGGAGTACAAGTCAAGGAACTTCAAACGTTCCCATTACTTAAGGTACTTGGCACAGTTTGTACGCTCAGTGAAAGTTCTTTGTAATTATCTAGATCAGCAGTTTCGTGTGCCTTAAAAAGGGCTGTTAGTGTACAACAGTATTCCAGCCTTGAAGTTTCTTATTATCCCTCCATTCATTTTCCTCACAGTTATGATCATGACACTTGCCATTCTTGAAGGCGATATCCTTTGACATTATCACTCGTCGCACAATTGTGCGGTTAGAATGTGTTTTAATGCCCCGTTCTAGCTTTAATTTCCTCAAGTGAGGCCTGGCCATAGATCGGGTCGCGGGGGGCGTTGACCCCCAACCCTCTCCAGGCATACTCCAGGTATAGCGGAATAACTGAAATTTGTCCCCATTGAACATCATATTGTTTTCTGGAAGACTTGAGTGATATCTGCTTGAAGATTTAGTGTCATCAATGGACGACACTCATGCAAAATCTAGTGTCGTCTGCAGAGATGGTATGGTGCTATAATTTACATCTCTGTCATATATAAGAATGAGGAAAAGGATGGGGGCGTATACGAAACTCCATACATTAATTATACATATAAATACTTGTGTATTGTGTGTGTGTGTGTGTGTGTGTGTGTGTGTGTGTGTGTGTGTGTGTGTGTGTGCCATGGATCAGAGTACAAGTGTTATGTATACCTGTGTATACCTGAATAAACTTACTTTGCTTCAGAGTTATTCGATCACATCAAGGTGATTGTCGCGTCACTGCTGGAGTGGGTCAGGCTGAGGGTGGAGTGACTCCCAGTGCTGTTATTGTTTGGGTGGTGTACTGGTTGTGGTTGTATTGGTGGTGATCGTGATTGTAGTGGTCGTGGTGTACTGGTTATGGTTATAGTAGTGGTGTATGGTGATACTCATAGTTATAATGGTGATGGTTGTGGTTGTAGTGTATGGTGGTGCTCGTGGTTGTGATGGTGTAAGATGGTGATACTGACCATGGGTGGTAAGTAGGTTTAATCCATGGAAGAACTTTATTCCTTGGATCACGAACCCTTCACCAACATCAAGGCATCTCCCGCCCCTTTTAAGGAAAACATGGACATGCTCACATAACAAGTAACCCGCACATATACTCTACACAAGTGCGTGTTGCACATGGCAGTAGAATCAAGAGAGACAGGTGAGACCCCGCAAGGCGTGAGTGAGGTGGGTGGAGGCCGCTGAAGATTGAGGGGGTCGACCTGGTGCTGCCGTTACTTGAAAAAACTCGGCCATACATCCACCATGACCCAGTAACCTGTGATCATCAGTCACTGTTAATAACACATACTGGCATAGTTCTCAGTTTTTATCAGTAACTTCTTAAAATGCGGAGAAAAGGCACAAGTTATAGTGTGACTTTGCAAATGGTCCAAGACGGACCGAAACGTCGTCATAAGCTTTTCTCTCTCCTATGTGCTGGTTATTTGTGTATTGTTCCAGTCACGGTATTGTATTTTTTTTGTGTGTGTGTTTTATAGTTAAGCTCTTACTGGGGCGATGTTTCACTCAATGTCGAGTGAAACAATGTTTGTTTTACAACCTACGAGGGCGGTGCCAAGGGGGCTTCAGCCCCCCAAATAAAAGCAGCAATAACAATAAGTCTCCTAGCCCCCAATCCAACCAAACTGCCAACCCTAAAGCCAACTCCTGTATAGAAATTCTGGCGTCGCCCCTGGTAGCCTATCACTTCTTCACTACTGTGTCGCCAGAACGCCATTGGAACCCATCATAAGATGTGATATTTACCTTTTATTGGTGAACCAGAGAACCAAGATGCATTCCCGGGTATTGAATTTGTGTAGCCTCTCATGTTTGGTGGGACTGTTTCTGACGGAAGCCATTTTTCCCATTAATTTTCTTTGAAATCAAATCGAATCAAATTTTATTTCTTTGTGCATTCAGTTTGTCAGATGGTTTAGTATCACATTGTTGGTGATATACAATACTGACAAACTGATGAACTAAACACATCGACTATAGGCTAAGGGACTGATTACCTCAAATTCCTGATTTTCAACCATTGTGTTTTGTATTGGACCGAGAAATCCACTGATTGGCAAAACATGTCGGCAATAATATTGTGAGAATATGAGACAATAATGGCATAAAAGCAAGTAAATAATAATAATGATTATTATTATTATTATTTCTACAAGTACATACAAGGTATACAGACCATAGCTGACATCAATGACATACTACTATATAGAAAGTCCCTTGTTCTGCAGAGCGTTTCGGGCAAATTAGGTCAGTGTCCCAGGATGCGACCCACACCAGTCGACTAACACCCAGATACCTATTTTACTGATAGGTGACCATGGGCAGCAGGTATCTAATGGAAACACCTGGAGTCTACCTGGCAGGTATTCCGAGGATCAACGCCCCCGCGGCCCGGTCCACGTCCTAATGCTTCCAGCCGTACCGGCATGAGATTGTTGTGTTCTGAATACTATTGAATGTGAGTTTACAAGTGCTTCCATGACCTTACCTAGGCAACATATGATCGGACGAGGTGTAAGTGACTTCACTGGTGCTGTGTTGGGTCACTGTTGTCAGGTTGTCACTGCTGTGTTGGGTCACTGTTGTCACTGCTGTGTTGGTCACTGCTGTGTTGGGTCACTGCTGTGCTGGGTCACTTGTCAGGTTGTCACTGCTGTGTTGGGTCACTGTTGTCAGGTTGTCGCTGCAGTCTTGGGCCACTGTTGTCAGGTTGTCACTGCAGTCTTGGGCCACTGTTGTCAGGTTGTCACTGCTGTGTTGCGTCACTGTTGTCAGGCTGTCACTGCAGTCTTGGGCCACTGTTGTCAGGTTGTCACTGCTGTGCTGGGTCACTGTTGTCAGGTTGTCATTGCTGTGTTGGGCCACTGTTGTCAAGTTGTCACTGCTGTGTTGGGTCACTGTTGTCAAGTTGTCACTGTTGTGTTGGGTCACTGTTGTCAGGTTGTCACTGCAGTCTTGGGTCACTGTTTTCAAGTTGTCACTGTTGTCAGGTTGTCACTGCAGTCTTGGGTCACTGTTGTCAAGTTGTCACTGTTGTGTTGGGTCACTGTTGTCAGGTTGTCACTGCTGGTCTCTCAGTGTTTCTCTGGGCTTCTGCTGACGGTCTGGACGCGCTGTTGTTGTGTTGGTGTTCCGCTACGGCCCAGTCATTAGGTAGTTTGTAAGAACTGACTTAATGTTACTTTCCTTATATCGTGGACATTCTGTTAAAGTACCGAGCATGCATTGGAAGCTTTCTAATGATCTCGATCCGAGGACTTGGGCTACCTTCTTCCTTGGATCGAACCTGTTCCTGTATTACCAAGGCAATTATAACCTGGTTTACCAGTCCCCTTCATGGATGTAATTTAACTTATTCTTTGTGTATGTTTGTCAAGTATGTCACTATGTGTTAGGGTCCACTGTTGTCAAGTTGTCACTGTTGTGTTGGTTCATTAATGTCAGGTTGTCAATGAAGTCTTGGGTCACTGTTATTCAAGTTGTCAGCATCTGTTTGTCATGAGTTTGTCACTGCGTCTTGGGTCACTGTTGTAGGTTGTCACTGAGTTTGGGTCACTGTTTTCAAGTTGTCACTGTTGAGTGTTGTCACTGCAAGTCCGTTGGTCACTGTTGTCAGGTTGTCACTGTTGGTCTCTGCAAGTCCAGGCTGCTGCTGCAGACGGTCTGATGACGCGCTTGTTGACTGTGCAAGTTCCAGCTGACTGCCTCACGTGATTGTCAAGAAGTTGTATTGACTGCCTTAAGAGTTACTGCTGCCATTAGTACCAGCTGGATTCGTTTTCAAGAGTGTCTGCACTGCAGGAATGTTGACTAAGCAGTCTGATGACTCTCGACCAGTGACTGAGCTGCCACCCTCTCTTGCAAGACGTGATGACCTGCATGACCTGTGATTGACCTGCAAGGCTACTACTCCATAGTTTACCAGTGCTGCTGCCTGACAGCTGATTGTGAGAGTATTGACCGCAAGACCAGTCTTGATGATTGTAAGACACTGACTAACTGCTAAACCATCTATTGATCATGCAAGACCGCTTATAACAAAAGATGACTGCCAAAGAACAGCTATATAAGAAGTTGACAGACTGAAGACCCTTATTCCTGGAGAACTGATGATACCTGCAAGACCAGCTATATATACCAGCATACTTGCTGTTAGACCAGATTACTGCGCACTCTCTGAGACATATAATTACATATCCATAAAGTGATTTTGAAACTGCCTAAGACCAGGGTGCCTGAGACCGCTGATGACCTGCCAAGACCAGCTGATTGACCTGCCAAGACCAGCTGATTGACCTGCCAAGACCAGCTGATTGACCTGCCAAGACCAGCTGACTTGACCTGCCAAGACCAGCTGATTGACCTGCCAAGACCAGCTGATTGACCTGCCAAGACTAGCTGATTGACCTGCCAAGACCAGCTGATTGACCTGCCAAGACCAGCTGACTGACCTGCCAAGACCAGCTGATTGACCTGCCAAGACCAGCTGACTGACCTGCCAAGACCAGCTGACTGACCTGCCAAGACCAGCTGACTGACCTGCCAAGACCAGCTGATTGACCTGCCAAGACCAGCTGATGACCTGCCAAGACAGTTGACTGACCTGCCAAGACCAGCTGATGCCCTGCCAAGACCAGCTGACTGACCTGCCAAGACCAGCTGATTGACCTGCCAAGACCAGCTGATTGACCTGCCAAGACCAGCTGATTGACCTGCCAAGACCAGCTGATTGACCTGCCAAGACCAGTGATGACCTGCAAGACAGCTGATTGACCTGCCAAGACCAGCTGCTTGACCTCCAAAGACCAACTGATTGACCTGCCAAGACCAGCTGATTGACCTGCCAAGACCAGCTGATTGACCTGTCAAGACCAGTTGACTGACCTGCCAAAACCAGTTGACTGACTGCCAAGACCAGTTGACTGACCTGCCAAGACCAGCTGAATGACCTGCCAAGACCAGCTGAATGATCTGCCAAGACCAGCTGAATGACTTGCCAAGACCAGGTGATTGACCTGCCAAGACCATTGACTTGACCTGCCATGACCAGACATTGATGACCGCCAAGACCAGCTGATGACCTGCCAAGACCAGCTAATGACTTGAAAGACCAGTGATGACCTCCAGACCACTGACGACCTGCCAGAACCATTGATCGACCTCCAGGACATTGATCGACCTCCAACCACTTGACGACTCAGACCACTTGATCGACCTCAGACCACTGATCGACCTCCAGAACCACTTGATCGACCTCCAGGACAACTTGATCGACCTCCAGAACCATTTGATCGACCTCCAGAACCACTTGATCGACCTCCAGACCACTTGATCGACCTCCAAACCACTTGATCGACCTCCAGAACCACTTGATCGACCTCCAGGCCACCTGATCGACCCCAAGGACAGCTGATAGACTTCAGTCTATTAAATGACCACTTGATCGACCAGTCTCCGAGACGAGGGTCGAATAATCACAATATACAAACGATGCCATTTTCTTTGGCCTTTAAATAGAGCCTTTATACAAAGCATTAAAAATTTAACCTCCGGAAAACATTTAACAACAGCCTACAAAATAGGCGCTTTAGAACGCCAGCAAAATAGTTGTGTCTCGAAGAAATGGCACAGGAGCAGAGCAAGCTTCCATTACGACGTTTCGCTCTACGCAGAGCGAAATGTCGACACAAGAGCTTCTACATCCTGAGTCTTTACTTCACTATTGTGGGACAGTACACTTATATAAAGTGCTGGTAAACCACTTACAATACTGTGAGCAGCACAGTCGTATAAAGTGCTGGTAAGCCACTTACAATACTGTGAGCAGTACACTTATATAAAATGCTCGTAAACCACTTACACAACTTACTATCCACTTGCCTAAGTTTATGAAACACTTACGAAAGCATCTTTGAATTTAAAGCGCTCAAGAAATCTTGCATAAAGGACCTTCAAAGGGACTTCTCTGGTCCACAAGAAAAAAAAAAAGTGACAGCCAGGCAAATTAAGAAATCGACTCGACTCTTGTACACTCTTGAGTGGGGTAACTACAGTAATATACCCAACAGTTACCCCAGTTGTATGTTTGGCCTGGTTATTGTAGGTCGTAGAAAAACGCTTCGCCCGTATGGGGGGGGGGGCATTCGGAGCTAATATATGCCTCCAGACTACGTGAAATATAAATGTAAAATACATATGTCGCTTTTGTAACTTGGTCATGATTATGACCAGATCTAGTTCATTACCTTTGTAACTTGCTCAGCTATCAAAACTTTGGAGTCCAGTCCCTGGACCAATTATGTACCTCTGTAATCTTTTGACTACCGCCCACAGGATGGGTATGGGGTGCATAATAAACATATTAAACTAACTAAGCTTTTGGATTCGCTGTTCACATTTACTCTGCAGTCACCGTCTCTTCTGCAGAACCTGCATCTCCCCTACATAAGTATACTCTGGAACTTCTATCCCCTACACAAAAATCTTGTCTTCACTTCTACTGTAATTTTCTATCATTTTAAAAGCTCTCTGCCTGACAGTTTCCATCATCCCTACAAAAATAATGTCCTCATTTATAAAAATCTTTATCCACCATATTACATGTGTTTACCCTATGGTCCTCTATTCACTATGACGGCTCTAAATTCACTATATTATTCCCAACTTTACTATAATTGTTCTCTCTACTATAATGATCCTATATTCACTACATGGAACTATTTTTACTGTATATAAATTAACTATAACCCCCTTAAAAATTTATTATCTTTATATTTACGAAAAAGTTGCATTAATTATATATATATATATATATATATATATATATATATATATATATATATATATATATATATATATAAATTTTTCTACGCCAAAGGAATCTGCGACAACAAAAAAATTAAAATGTAAATAAAATTCCACAAGATTTCACGAGGACTAGTAGTAACAGCCTGGTTGATCAGGCCTTGATCCACTGCAAGGCCTGATCATCGACTGGGCCGCGGGGGCGTTGACCCCCAGAACACCCTCCAGGTAGACTCCAGTGCGATACAAACCCAAAACTTACCTTCTGTGTCTGAAAAAATTAAGACTTGATTCTGAGAAATTAAAATGAACAAGAAGTTGTATTATTATTAGACAGCATACTGCCGAGGAAACTGTGGATAATAGATGCTTAGAGCAGAACAACGCTTCGCCCTCCTTGAGCGAGACGTTGCCTAGATATAGGCTTGCTCTCAGCGTCCGTTTTTCATACCCATATTTGTCAACATTGCCTTCCCACCACACTGAGGACTCTGTCTTGTGTATATCAACACACTTGTTTATGAACTCGTGTACAAGAGAAGATGGAAACATATTAATGAATGAAGACTTTCCATTCCCGGAGACCGGCCGAACAAGGGTTACTGCTCCCTCAGTGGCTAGAGAAGTTCACACCTGTTGGAAAAGAAACCTGGACCTGGTCCGTGTCCTAGACCAGTAATAAGTTTATACTTGATAATGATCCAAGACGGCGGACCGAAATGTCTAATTTCAGCTTTGGTTTTTTGAGCTATATCTGAAATATCCTGTCAGTGAAGACTAAGATGAGCGGCTCTATGATCTCTCGTTTATTGGAAAGACTGAGCAAACATATCCCACACATTTCTTTAAAATGAAAACATGCAGTTGTATATCCACAGTTAATAAAACCTTCGTGAAAAGCTCGTGTCAGGAGCTGCAAGCATGTAGTGAGTGATTTTATTTTCGTGCAGTTATTCGGCCGTTGGAGACCCCTGCTGTTAAGGGAAAATCTGACAAAAAGGACTCTTTTAAAAAGCACGTCGCCCTATGAGATATCAACACATACTAGCACAAACTTCCTGAGCACAACCCAAAACAAACATTCAAGTTGTTTCTTCCAATTTCTGGTGTTACAAGGCTCAAGAATTAGAGCTCTCTCATTACATTTAAGCCATTAATCATCTCCATCATCGTCTGATCTCATGTCACAGCCCAGCAACTGCAACTCTCTCACCAACTTCAGATCTTGTATATCCTAGAGAATGCATCTCTCCTAGAATCACTGGGTAGTGTATAAAAACGTGTGAATTACTTCTCTCCCGCCTCCTTCATATCTTTTACCACAACCCAAGGATTACTACTACTCCACCACCACCACATCTTTGTACAACCCAGGAATTACATCTATCATCAAAACTTCAGTTTGCATCGACACCAACCACGACTGAGACAGAAGCTCTCTATGCCCCCAAGAACGACCCCAGGAACCAAAACCTCCCGAAGTTCACTACAGCAGAAGCTTCAATAGTCAGTCTTTCGGGAGGGCAGAGTCACTCTTTCCACGGACGTAGATCTTCGTGGCCTTTGAGCCCAGGACTCGGTCCAGCAACGACGTCTTGGACCTCTTGCGGACATTCTGCACCTCCTTGAAGACCTCGTGGAAGGCTGTGGCCACCTGCACTACATGCTCAGACGCCGCTACCTCGCTGAAGTAGCACTCCACGTCCTTGGCCAGGATCTCTCCTGAGGGCAAAAGGAAAGGAAAAGTTAGTTTCCTGTGGACTTGGTTTAATAGCTTTATCTTGCATCCCAAAACCATCCTGTGGGTGGTAGTTGTCACACTCTGTATCATTACTGAATGTTCTGAAATGCGAAAAAAATTAGGGCATTCTGACAAGTCACTTCCACATGAACAAGAAATACCAAAGTATTTTACCGTGTGGGCGGTAGTCCAAATTTTATAAAAGCACATAATTGGACCAGGTAGCTTCTGAAGCTTGTAATTCACTGAAACAATTCATAACTGACCTACAAATTGTAAATGGAAACTCAACGACGCTTCTATCTGTCCTAGACAGTTATAAAGGTGCAACTTGATTAAGGTTCAGGGTGGATCGAAAAGAAGTCTGCTTGCTCTTTATAGTTTGTGGGTAATTGTGAAGAATATTTGATGGTAATGGCCACACTGATCACATCCGTTGTTGATGAAGCTGAGATGGGTGACAGGGGAAAGAGATGGGTGGCAGGGGTGGGGAGACATGAGTGGCAGGAGGATAAGATGGGCAGCGAGGGAGGAGGAAGGGGTAGAATTATGCAGTCTCACAAACTGTTTGACACGACACTTAAAAACTTGCAGGTAAACTGTTTACGTTAGCTCATGATGGTGGTGGTGGTATTCATATTTTTATTTGATGGTGGGGGTGATGATGGAAGTGTTGGTGGTTGGTGGTAGTGCGATGGTGTTGGAGGCAGTGGTAGTAATGGTGGTGGGGCAGGCAATAGTATTGGTGATGGTAGTGACGATTTTTTTTTTTTGCAATGTTTTGAATGTTTCAAGAGTTGTTGTGTTTTGGTGAGGAAGAATTTGGTCATTTATCTTCAAATCAAGAGTAGAGAGAGACTGATATGTGTCCCTGTCGCGTAGAGGCTCGACAATTTTGGAGTTGTAGCCGTTAGTGTCTAATATAACTACTCCATTATTCCACCCCAGTAGTGACGATGACAGATTCGTCCCTGGCCAGGTTTTCAAAGACCATCACGCTTGTATGGTTGCCCGAAACTCATAAAGCAGGAGTTCCTCCTATAATTATTTTTTTTTATGCTGCGCCACACAGACTAAACATGATTAACTCCTCTCACCTGAAACACTCGTGTGATTTATCACACAGGTTTAAGAACAAGAAACTCGTCATTTATGACATCCCATTCTCCATTAGGGCTTCTACCCAATTACTGTGCAAACTATGGTCTTTCAAATTATTGTGTATTTTTGTACAATAATTCGAAATAAAAAATTATTGCTATTGCCACACAAATCATTGTTATGCTTCGTGGAAAGGTCGCCGATGATTTACACTCTCCTGTTCGTAGTCGGCGACTGTGTACAGGCAACCCTTTGAGATGGCAATGGGTTCACCCCTTTGTGAGGTCCTGGAGGAAGAGACAAAGCCACACATCCCTAGTAGTGTATGTAGCTGTGTTACGGAGGTATCCCAGCCATCATGCCCAGACGAGTATGACATCCTAGCCATCATGCCCAGACGAGAATGACATCCTAGCCATCATGCCCAGACAAGTATGACATCCTAGCCCTCATGCCCAGACGAGTATGACATCCTAGCCATCATGCCCAGACAAGTATGACATCCTAGCCATCATGCCCAGACGAGTATGACATCCTAGCCATCATGCCCAGACGAGTATGACATCCTAGCCATCATGCCCAGACGAGTATGACATCCTAGCCATCATGCCCAGACGAGTATGACATCCTAGCCATCATGCCCAGACGAGTATAACATCCTAGCCATCATGCCCAGACGAGTATGACATCCTAGCCATCATGCCCGGACGAGTATGACATCCTACCCATCATGCCCAGACGAGTATGACATCCTAGCCATCATGCCCAGACGAGTATGACATCCTAGCCATCATGCCCAGACGAGTATGACATCCTAGCCATCATGCCCAGACGAGTATGACATCCTACCCATCATAACCAGACAAGTATGACATCCTAGCCATCATGCCCAGACGAGTATGACATCCCAGCCATCATGCCCAGACGAGTATGACATCCTACCCATCATGCCCAGACGAGTATGACATCCTAGCCATCATGCCCAGACAAGTATGACATCCTAGCCATCATGCCCAGACGAGTATGACATCCTAGCCATCATGCCCAGACGAGTATGACATCCTAGCCATCATGCCCAGACAAGTATGACATCCTAGCCATCATGCCCAGACGAGTATGACATCCTAGCCATCATGCCCAGACGAGTATGCATCCTAGCCATCATGCCCAGACGAGTATGACATCCTAGCCATCATGCCCAGACGAGTATGACATCCTAGCCATCATGCCCAGACGAGTATGACATCCTAGCCATCATGCCCAGACGAGTATGACATCCTAGCCATCATGCCCAGACGAGTATGACATCCTACCCATCATGCCCAGACGAGTATGGCATCCTAGCCATCATGCCCAGACGAGCATGACATCCTAGCCATCGTGCCCACACGAGGACGTCTTAACTATCGTGCCCAGATGACTCGATACCACAGAATTCCTTAACAAAATTACCACTATTGAACTATCAATCAAGTTCATCATGAAGAATGAACACGATGGTTGTCCTTTCCTCGACGCATTTCTCTATAGAAACTACAATAACTGGATTTGAAGGTCTACGGGAAGTCTACAAACAATACTTGTAGCATTTTTGTCACACAGTGACGAGAGGATGAAGGTAAATGTCAAAGGATTCTACTTGAGAGCATACAGAATTTCTAACACTGCCTTACCTCGCCGAGGAATCCAATTTATACCAACACACTTCATCCACACGAGAAAAGTTAAGAGAATCATCCTCTCTACCGGTCAGACAGAAACCGGACAGATTCCTAGTACTTCCAGTCAACTAGGCTTCAGACCTTTTAGCCAAGAATATACCTGGAGAGGGTTTCGGGGGTCAATACCCCCGTGGTCCGGTCTGTGACCAGGCCTCATTGAGTAAAACCAGTAAGTGAATAAGTTTATTCAGGTGTAGGCACTCATACAGTTACATAAATTATCATATATAGCAGCATATGTATAGATTACCCAGGATAAGCCAAGAAAGTCAGACAAAGTGACTTATTTCCACATACCACAGAGAAACTAATACAGGCGTCTTCACCATACCATGCGGTGGATGGGATAAACTATATACATAGGGGAGACTTCTATCACTGTGGAACAACGCATCAGGGAACATCAATAAACATGTCAAAGATGATTTAAACACTTGCACTATACAGTGGACCTCCCACATCCATCTCATGAACGTCACAGAGCTAAATTAGTCATCAGGAAACGTGTTCAGCACCAGAGGCGATGTTTAGAACCTCCTTTTGTTACCACTACCAGTACTATCACACGCAATTCTGGCAGTTTTATGATTTCAGATGTCAGCTCATCCTACGTTGACCTGACAACCATCAGGTAGCTCCTGTACCCAAATGCAGCGAATGATCTACCTACAATATACACTCTTATTTCAGTTCTCTGTACTGCAAGGAAAACAAGAACTAGAAGAAGAAAAGTCTCACTGCTAACTGCTCTGATACCGTTTTGGTGTCTTGTGTACTTTCGATTTTTATATGCCAGTTAGTATTAAGGTACTGGCCTATAATCCTATAAATACCTGAAATTCTTGTTTAAAGTTGAACATATTGCTCGCCATTCTGACGCATTACTTTGGCCTTGACTTCTGTTCAAGTCCAAGGGGAACTAACAACCATGTTGGCTAAAAATAAACACTCGTATATAACCAAGTGGATAAGAATGTGAGGGGAGTGGCAGCTCAGTGGTTAGAGCATCCAGCTGACAACCGTACGGGCAACAGTTCGAATCTTGAGCTAAGCGACACGCAGGAGCAAGTCTTCTTGCACCTGCTACCCCTGCTCACCTAGCAGTGAATAGGTACCTGGGTTTTAGTCAATACTTGGAGGGTGAATCCTAGGGAGGAGTACCAAAGGACACCGGTGAAAAATAAGCCACACTGTTTGCTGGCTTTCTGGAGTTTCCTGGGTTATTAATTCTCAGTGGGCAATTTAAATAAAACAGTCATCTTTAATGATGTCAAAGCCATCACTTTCGAAGAAACAGGAGATACAAAATTATGATGAAGACGTGAAAGACACTTCACCAGAGGGTCTCTGCTCAAACATGACTTACACTCAACACTTCACGAAGCTACGGAAATAAACGGCAGACTTCAAGTTATGTTTAAAAAGGAACGAAGAATTATAGTGTATAGATCTATGGGACAACTCTGACGGATAAAAATCTTGTCCTAGCCAAGATGTCTGTAGTACATTTGAACTCTGTGGGAAGTGTAGGGTAGACATATTCGCAAAAAAATGCTAGTAATAATAATTAATAATAATAATAATAATAATAATAATAATAATAATGATAATAATAATAATAATAATAATAAATTAATAATGATGATTTTTAAATAACGGAACCTTAAAAACTACTGTCACTACTGGAGCCATAATCAAAAGCTCCTCATCAACCTTGAGGCTTGTGAGGGGCTTTTGATTCAAGGAACCGGACATGTCCTTCCGTTTCCTGGATCGCACCTGAATGCCTCCTATTTCCCAGCCGCTATACGACCCTATGAGTTTAGCACTTCCCATCTGGTAAAAAAAAAAAACAATGGACGATATCCTTATCGCTCTTACAAAAATCTCCCAGCTCAGGCTGACGTATCTCACAATCTTATTTGTACAACCATCCTGCCTGATGAACTGCCACAGCAACGCCATCCTGTTGTAAACTAAAGCAGGAGAAACCATCCTGTTGGATGGAGTATGACAGGAAAACCATCATGTATGGGGGTGGGTGTTGGTAGTGTGGATGGTGGCAGACATTACAACAAACATCTGACACACTCACCTTCCTCGGTAGACACCTGCCGCAGATGGACCATATCTGCCTTGTTGGCCAGCAGGACCATGGGTGGACCCAGCGTGGGTGACACGTCCCCACCCATGCCACCCGACTGCATGGGTGGCACGGGCGTGAGGGTTGTGGCGCCGCTGAGGCCTCCCACACGCCCACTGACCTTGCGTTCGCATATATGGAGTCGCACTCTCTTCACCCAGTTAAAGCTCTGACGGTCAGTGATGGAGTACACTAAGAGAAATCCGTCAGCCCAGCTGATGACCTCCGGGGACGGTACTGCTTCCAAGTTCTGATGGGTGAGAGTGAGGCAGATTGAGAGTGAGGCAGAGTGAAGAGAATGAAAGAGGTAGGGCGAGGGAAAGTGAGACAGGAAGAGTAAAGGCAAGTGACACACAACACAAACACACAACACACACACACACACAACACACACACACACACACACACACACACACACACACACAAACACAAACACACACACACACACACACACACACACACACACTATCAAGGTACCTTATCCACACTAACATATTACCAGCCAATCTGAGAAAATACCTTAACTTTACCTACTGAAGATAACCTTTAACCATTAACCTTGTTTAAATCCAAGCGTACCTTGTTATTACCTGGAGAGAGTTCCGGGGGTCAACGCCCCCGCGGCCCGGTCTGTGACCAGGCCTCCTGGTGGATCAGAGCCTGATCAACCAGGCTGTTGCTGCTGGCTGCACGCAAACCAAAGTACGAGCCACAGCCCGGCTGGTCAGGAACCGACTTTAGGTGCTTGTCCAGTGCCAGCTTGAAGACTGCCAGGGGTCTGTTGGTAATCCCCCTTATGTATGCTGGGAGGCAGTTGAACAGTCTCGGGCCCCTGACACTTATTGTATGGTCTCTTAACGTGCTAGTGACACCCCTGCTTTTCATTGGGGGGATGTTGCATCGTCTGCCAAGTCTTTTGCTTTCGTAGTGAGTGATTTTCGTGTGCAAGTTCGGTACTAGTCCCTCTAGGATTTTCCAGGTGTATATAATCATGTATCTCTCCCGCCTGCGTTCCAGGGAATACAGGTTTAGGAACCTCAAGCGCTCCCAGTAATTGAGGTGTTTTATCTCCGTTATGCGCGCCGTGAAGGTTCTCTGTACATTTTCTAGGTCAGCAATTTCACCTGCCTTGAAAGGTGCTGTTAGTGTGCAGCAATATTCAGCCTAGATAGAACAAGTGACCTGAAGAGTGTCATCATGGGCTTGGCCTCCCTAGTTTTGAAGGTTCTCATTATCCATCCTGTCATTTTTCTAGCAGATGCGATTGATACAATGTTATGGTCCTTGAAGGTGAGATCCTCCGACATGATCACTCCCAGGTCTTTGACGTTGGTGTTTCGCTTATTTTGTGGCCAGAATTTTTTGTACTCTGATGAAGATTTAATTTCCTCGTGTTTACCATATCTGAGTAATTGAAATTTCTCATCGTTGAACTTCATATTGTTTTCTGCAGCCCACTGAAAGATTCGGTTGATGTCCGCCTGGAGCCTTGCAGTGTCTGCAATGGAAGCACTGTAGGCAGATTCGGGTGTCATCTGCAAAGGAAGACACGGTGCTGTGGCTGACATCTTTGTCTATGTCGGATATGAGGATGAGGAACAAGATGGGAGCGAGTACTGTGCCTTGTGGAACAGAGCTTTTCACCCTAGCTGCCTCGGACTTTACTCTGTTGACGACTACTCTCTGTGTTCTGTTAGTGAGGAAATTATAGATCTATCGACCGACTTTTCCTGTTATTCCTTTAGCACGCATTTTGTGCGCTATTACGCCATGGTCACACTTGTCAAAGGCTTTTGCAAAGTCTGTATATATTACATCTGCATTCTTTTTGTCTTCTAGTGCATCTAGGACCCTGTCGTAGTGATCCAATAGTTGAGACAGACAGGAGCGACCTGTTCTAAACCCATGTTGCCCTGGGTTGTGTAACTGATGGGTTTCTAGATGGGTGGTGATCTTGCTTCTTAGGACCCTTTCAAAGATTTTTATGATATGGGATGTTAGTGCTATCGGTCTGTAGTTCTTTGCTGTTGCTTTACTGCCCCCTTTGTGGAGTGGGGCTATGTCTGTTGTTTTTAGTAACTGTGGGACGACCCCCGTGTCCATGCTCCCTCTCCATAGGATGGAAAAGGCTCGTGATAAGGGCTTCTTGCAGTTCTTGATGAACACGGAGTTCCATGAGTCTGGCCCTGGGGCAGAGTGCATGGGCATGTCATTTATCGCCTGTTCGAAGTCATTTGGCGTCAGGATAACATCGGATAGGCTTGTGTTAACCAAATTCTGTGGCTCTCTCATAAAAATTCATTTTGATCTTCGACTCTCAGGCTGGTTAGCGGCTTGCTAAAAACTGAGTCATATTGGGACTTGAGTAGCTCACTCATTTCCTTGCTGTCATCTGTGCAGGACCCATCTTGTTTAAGTAAGGGCCCATATATAAACATGTAAATATTCTTTACCACTATAACTTGATTACCTATGTGACTCTAATATTTTGACTATTACCCCACATCATGGGTAAGTGGTGACCACTACCCACACATGGGTAAGTGGTGACCACTACCCACATCATGGGTAAGTGGTGACCACTACCCACATCATGGGTAAGTGGTGACCACTACCCACACCATGGGTAAGTGGTGACCATACCCACATCATGGGTAAGTGGTGACCACTACCCCCACATGGGTAAGTGGTGACCATTACTCACACCATGGTAAGTGGTGACCACTACCCACACCATGGGTAAGTGGTGACCATTACCCACACCATGGGTAAGTGGTGACCATTACCCACACCATGGGTAAGTGGTGACCACTACCCACACCATGGGTATGAAATACATAAAAAAATATTAAATTAGCTAAATACCTGCTGTATACATGCTCATTTAACAAACCTCAAATTAGTTTTCAGGACTCTTATAAAGTCCCTGACGACGCTATGTACAACACATACCACTGTATATCAGGTCACTCTTGGAGTATGCAACACTAGTATGGTAGGAACTCACACATGGTCAAGCATATAAAAAAAACTGGTGAAAGTGCAAAGGTTTACAACGAGACTAGTCCTAGAGTTATGGGGTGTGATCAATGAGAATTAAGAAGCGATATCTGATGACGTTAGAGGAGAGAAGAGAGACTGATAGGACAGAGAGGTGGGAAATAGGTACACGAAGGTACACCTGGAAGATAAAAGCACACAGATGAACCACTGGGCTGTCGGAAGTATGTATTTAGCCTAAGGGTGGTCAGGAAGTGCAATGACCTTTAAGAATAGGGGTTATAAGACTTTCTAAGGTACAGAGAGAGAGAGAGCGAGAAGAGAGAGAGAGAGAGAGAGAGAGAGAGAGAAGAGAGAGAGAGAGAGAGAGAGGAAGAGAGAGAGAGAGAGAAGAGAGAGAGAGATGAGACCGAGAGACGAGGAGAGAGAGAGAGGAGAGAGAGGAGAGAGGAGACCCGACAACTACAATAGGCGAGACAAAAAGACAGACCAATGAGATGACCCTATAACATGTGTACATTAAGCAGGCAGGGTACAGTGAGCGGAGGTTCGCTTGACTAATATACGATGTGAAAAGGTGAGTACTACGTTCAGTTGTAATGAACTATACATCGTGTTGTAGCTTACAGGATGTTGCAGTGTACTAGTGTGTGTTGTAGGTGTACTAGTGTGTGTTGTAGGTGTACTACTGTGTGTGTATGTTAGGTGTGTAGTTACTAGTGTGTTGTAGGTGTACTACTGTGTGTTGTAGGTGTGTAGTGTGTGTTGTAGGTGTACTAGGGGGTGTGTTGTTAGGTGTACTACTGTGTGTTGGTTAGGTTTTGGGGTACTAGTGTGTGTTGTAGGTGTACTAGTGTGTTGTTGTCTAGGTGTTTAGTTAGTGTGTTGTAGGTGTACTACTGTGTGTTGTAGGTGTACTAGTGTGTGTTGTAGGTGTACTAGTGTGTGTTGTAGGTGTACTACTGTGTTGTAGGTGTACTACTGTGTGTTGTAGGTGTGCTAGTGTGTGTTGTAGGTGTACTAGTGTGGTGTTTGTAGGTGTACTACTGTGTGTTGTAGGTGTACTAGTGTGTGTTGTAGTGGTTGTCTAGGTTGTGTGTGTGTGAGGGTACTACTGTGTGTTGTAGGTGTGTAGTGTGTGTGTTGTAGGTGTACTAGTGTGTGTGTAGGTGTACTACGTGTGTGTGTCTAGTGTGGTGAGTGTACTAGTGTGTGTTGTAGTGGTGTGTTGTAGATAGTGTGGTTGTAGGTTGTACTAGTGTGTGTTGTAGGTGTACTAGGGTTGTGTGTTGTGTGTAGGTGTATTACTAGTGTGTGTTGTAGGTGTACTAGTGTGTGTTGTAGGTTTGTGGTGTGTGTTGTAGGTGTACTATGTGTGTTGTAGGTGTACTAGTGTGTGTTGTAGGTGTACGTTTAGTTAGTGTGTTGTAGGTGTACTACTGTGTTGTAGGTGTACTAGGTGTGTTGTAGGTTGTGCTAGTGTGTGTTGTAGGTGTACTAGTGTGTGTTGTAGGTGTACTAGTGTGTGTTGTGTAGGTGTACTAGTGTGTGTTGTAGGTGTACTAGTGTGTGTTGTAGGTGTACTAGTGTGTGTTGTAGGTGTACTAGTGTGTGTTGTAGGTGTACTAGTGTGTGTTGTAGGTGTACTAGTGTGTGTTGTAGGTGTACTAGTGTGTGTTGTAGGTGTACTAGTGTGTGTTGTAGGTGTACTAGTGTGTGTTGTAGGTGTACTAGTGTGTGTTGTAGGTGTACTAGTGTGTGTTGTAAGGTGTACTAGTGGGGTTGTAGGTGTACTAGTGTGTGTTGTAGGTGTACTAGTGTGTGTTGTAGGTGTACTAGTGTGTGTTGTAGGTGTACTAGTGTGTGTTGTAGGTGTGCTAGTGTGTGTTGTAGGTGTGCTAGTGTGTGTTGTAGGTGTGCTAGTGTGTGTTGTAGGTGTACTAGTGTGTGTTGTAGGTGTGCTAGGTGTGTTGTAGGTGTCTAGTTTGTGTTGTAGGTGTACTAGTGTGTGTTGTAGGTGTACTAGTGTGTGTTGTAGGTTGTGCTAGTGTGTGTTGTAGATGTGCTAGGTTTGTTGTTGTAGGTGTACTAGTGTGTGTTGTAGGTGTGCTAGTGTATGTTGTAGGTGTACTAGTGTGTGTGTAGGTAGTACTAGTGTGTGTTGTAGGTGTACTAGCTGTGTGTTGTAGGTGTGCTAGCGTGTGTGTAGGTGTGCTAGTGTGAGTTGTAGGTGTACTAGTGTGTGTTGTA